ACCTATACATAATTAATAACAAAGAAATAACTAAAAACAAATGGATAATGACACAAATAAAAAACCAAACTATAATTAGAAAAATAACAACAATGCAAGACCATAGCAAAATAAAATTAATTGGTGATTCACCAGTCAACTAGTGAGAGGTCATAGTATAACGTGACGCAGTTTATATATAGAAATTAGGGTTTTTGGAATGTGAGCTGCACTATTTTAAAACTTTTTTTCGTACTAAGTTAACCACCTTTAAGCTTCTAATTGAAGTTGAAGTTGTAGAGCTCATTGAGAGAAATCTTTTGGTGGTTGAATCATCAAAATTGGCCTGGTAGATCACGAGATATCTTCGAAAAATGTTTCGCTGACTATATAATTTTCTCTTTCAACAATACTATCGTTGAAAGAGAAAATTATATAGTTGGCGAAATGTTTTCAAAAATATCTCATAATCAATCAGGCTAGTGATTGGACCCGTTCTACCCAAGTGACCCGTCAGGCTGATCCAGATAGACTGACAGGTATTCCCAGCCAATCGCTAATGTTTGTTTACATTGGGTAAAATAGGATGTGTTAATCCTATTTTACCTGATATAAACAAACCATCAGCGATTGGCTGAGAATACCCGTCAGTCTATCCGGATCAGCCCAACGGGTCACCCAGGTAGAACGGGTCTAATCACTAAACCAGGCCGATTTTGATGATTCAACCACCAAAAAATTTCTCTTAACGAGCTCTACAACTTCAATTAGAAGCTCAAAGGTGATTAACTTAGTACGAAAAAAAGTTTTAGAATAGTGCAGCTCATATTCCAAAAACCCTAATTTCTATATGTAAATTGTGTCACATTATACTATGATCTCTCACTGGTTGACTGATGAATCACCAATTAATACACTGGATATATACAAAAGATAAACATCAACCACAACAACTTATACAATGCAACTAATGCAAGCTAACAACTACAATATACTATGGCAAGTATGCTATACAAACAACCTCAAAAAACTATAGTATAATACAAGTAAGCCACAGTAAATGCATATACAGCTATATAGCAGAGATACAGCAATATACACGGCAACAAAGCACTTCACAACAGATTAAACAATATACCTCAACTAGCCAAGCATCCAAGAAACTAAAACCAACACTACAAATATGCAATAGCATGTTTCCTGAAACCACAACTAACACAACATTAATTAAAATAGCAAAAGATATAATTACAAACAAAGTAACACATGCAATAATAGTAACATATAAAGATATAAACACTGGACAACCCATATACAGATTCACCTGGGAAATCTGCCAAACTAACATCAAACTAACTAACAAAATCACAAACTAGCAATCCAAAACTACAGTAATATTAACAGCAATCTTTACACTAATAGCCATTACACCAATCAAAACAACACTAAAAATATTTACAACAGCAACCCATATCATCAATACATACCAACAATACAATACAATTAAATACAACAAGAAGAATATTATAACAAAAAACCAATACTGGCTATACTGGACCAACGTCTTTACACTTACAACAAGAAAAGATATTCAATTAGAACTAATATTAATATCAAGCAAATTTCCAGCACTTACAAAATTATATACCAAAACAACCTTTGATGCCAATATACAAAAAATAATACCACAATTCCAACAAGTCGATTACACAACATATATACTCACATAGTTTAACTACACAACAATACAAAAAACAAGAAGACTAATCAGAAACATACAAAACACAAAAAACCTAACTATGTGGTACTCACAAAATCAGACACAAAAGTGGACCAACATACAAAATATTAATTGGGAATTAACATATGCATTTATCAACTACAACGACAAACCAAACAGCTTAACAAACACATCTAATCCACTCCAAATTGAAGGCTTTCAAGCTAAAATTTCTTTTGGATAAACTGCCAACCCTACAAAATCTAAATAAACAAAGTCTACACAGATACCCAGAAACCCAATGCAAAATTTGTAATGCAGAAGACGAATCAAATACACACTGACTTATATGCCCAATAAACCCAACCAATATAAACACCTTTATATACACCATAGCTAGAAAATTTATAAATAAAAATCAAAAAGATACAGCAACAAATAGTGAAAAACAAGAATTTATAAATAGATTCTTCAATAACTTCAACCCCACAGCCAATGGCAATACTATAACATTAGTCCAAGGTCTCATTACATATGCGTTTAAACAAAACTTAAAATCGATCACACTTACTACAAACAAAACGAAACCCAATACAATCAAACTACTTTACAAAATTTACAAAACAATCTACAACCAAACATGGAAAAACTGCTACAAAACTACAACTCAAACAACAAATAAAAACCAAATACAAAATTCAAATAACAACCCTACACAAAACACAAACCAACAAAATATACAAACGAACATAAATTATAATCTACAGCAAACAGCTCGGAATAAATGAATAAAATAAACCAAACAATACTACATGTATAATGCATCTCCTAATACAATATATCAAACGCAATCTGAGTGAAGACTTGATGCCTTCTCTTAGTAGAGCCTAGGCCAAAGATAAATTAGCCTTAGTCGAAAGTTTTTAGATAGCTTAATTTCAAAATATGTAAAAATATCTTGATATTAAATTATAATAATAATAATATAAAATGTTATCAATAAAAAACTGAGATCAGGTCTCACTCTTTAAAAAAAAAAAATAATAATAATAATATACTATGTCCAGGACTTTTGAAGACACTAGTAACCTAATTAAAATGATAAGCCAAAGAAATTAACCTTGATTACAAAAAAATAAATAAATAAATAATAATTAACTATAATAATAACTAAAAAAATAAGAAAAAAAATTCTTTACAATAATATTTTGTATTTAAAATATTCATTAAACTTATCTTTATTTTAGTTAAAGTTAATGCTTACGATATAGTTAGGTGTTAGTTGATATAATAGCAAAATTGCCTCAGAAAATTTTTTTGTTAAATTGTTTTTTATGCAGATTTTGAGTTATAAACAAATCAAATGTTTGTTTTGATTTTTTCTGATCAACCTGCGATCTGCAATTTCCGGCCTGAATAATTATGATATTCAACATTAGCCAAATTCTATATAAAAATTTATACATGAGTTGAACAAAATATGATACTTTCAAACCAGGGTTGGCACAGAACGGGTCAAGCTTGACCAGACCAGTTTGACCAGTTGGTCAAAGGGTTTAGTATTAGCCAAATTGGTCAAAGAATATTTTAAACATATAGTATACATAAATATATATATATATATTTATTTTGTATACTAAGTTTAATAGACCATTTGACCAATTTGACCAAACCATTTGACCGGACCAGTTTCAAACATCTTCGCTAAGATTTATCGATTTAAAAACTTGACAAATTGGGGTTTCAAGCACTTTCAATGATACGGATATATTGAAAACCTTCTATCCTTTTAGAAAAACTGACTATTAAACACGTACAATATATGTTTAATTTTTAACATTAGCACCTATTCGTGTAATACGTTATTATAAAAATTTATTTATATTTGGAGCTGCTTTTATATTTCTTGTCAAAGATTTATTAGTTCACAAGAACGCACGTACTAAATACATCAAACATGTCAGACAAGCATTCAAACGAAAAAAAATTGATAACATTGATATTATTGTTATAACGATCTGTCAAACAATCATTAATAATACAAAAATAACTTTTATTATATTAGCCGAAAAATCATTCGAAACAGCTGTAAATAATGTGCCAGCTTAAGCTAACTTACTTGAGCCGGCTTGAGCCAACTTACTTGAGCTGGCTTGAGTCATCAGATCGAGTTGGCTTTTTGAGCCAATCCGAGCTAGCTCAAGCCGATCCCATCCCTATGCAAGATAATTATAGACACGTCTAATAAAAAAAAAATATATATAAACATATATATATTTTAGTGAAAGAGTTATATATCAGATTATGAATGTAAAGACTGACCTGTCGCCTGGTGCTCGTTCTAGATACTCTCGTTCAATTAATGCCTCGATTCGTTTTTTGATCATTGCCGGATTGGGTACAAACCGTGGCTGCAATTGTTTCGTCACCTCTGCAATCAAAAGATTATGATCCATTGTTTTTCGGTCTTTCATAATTCTTACAATTGCGGCTTCTGTTTGATGTTTCCTGGCTTCTTCAACTTTTTCCCTCGTATCTTTTCTTTCGCCTTCAGTTTCAACTTTGCTAGCTACTGTTTGAATCTTAATGCGCTGCAGCTGACACGTAAAATCACTATTGAAATAGAATTTGTCTCCAGCTTCGATTTCTTTTCCTTTAGGTTCTTTTACAAGAATTTTATATTTGGCACATGCTAATGATTGAAGATTACGTTTGAGGTCAGCCTCTGGAATGTCGCTTTCGCCTTTTATTGTCTACAATAATCAATGTATAAATGAGAATATTGATCGAACCAATCAAAATTTTAAAAATGACAACAGGACAAATTAATATAATAATACACTTTACCTCATACGATAGGCTTTGGCCAGGGGGCAAATCGTTGAACATTAAAAGTATAACCATTTGATACGTTGATACATTAATATCATGTTTCCGAGTATTAAAAGTAGCACGAATATCTGCACTTCCCTATTATTGTATTCCAAATTAATAAGTAAAATTACTACTTTTTTTATTGCAATATACTCAAAAACTGACTCACCATATTGGATTGCCATGTTAACCTCCGACCACTATGTCGTGCCAGATAAAATCTTTGAAATGTATCACACGCTTTGGTTATTTCTGCAGGGAAATTGCACCGTGGACTTGCGGATAAATTCATAGGCCAGAATGTAGACGTAAGAACGGTAACGCTTAAATCCAGCTTGGGCCTCTGAGTATGATAAAATAGACTTGGCATAAAAATCCAATAATTTTATGCTAAAATAACTCACTAAATTTGTTTTTTTTTTTTTTTTGTTTTTTTTTTGTTTTTTTTTTTTACCTCCAGTGCAGATTTTTCTAAAAAGTCCTTAAAATCTGTCATGGTATCGGTTGAGATCCTCATATCATTGAACATTCCTTCAAGTTTCGTAGTGAATTGATATCCACACTCAATCTATTTTAAGATATGCGTTAAAATTAATCAATAATTATATGCGTCAATTATGATTAGAATTCACATTCAACATACCTTAAGTTTACCGATCATGCTTCTTTCTGCATCATCGCTTACACTACGTCCGAGTAATAGTCGTTTGGCCAAATGTTGTTTATAATATCGTTCAAAAACATCTTTTTCACCAATGAAACGGAATAGCGTAATAGTCTTATCCAATACACTATCTACTTCTTCTTCAGTCTTCTAATTTAATTGATTGATTAACTTAAATGTAAAAGACAGTAAACAAACACGTAAATACTTACTCCTTTCAAGCCTTTCTTAAGATTTTCGTCAATAAATAATGAGATGAATTCAGGAGATTTCAAATTTTTATTTATAAAGAATTCAAATGCCTATATAAAGAAATATAATAAATAAACAATATAATGCGTATACATATGACTAAATTCATTGTGTTGGAAAACTCACCTCGTTAAATGCCGTTTGAAATGCTTTGTCATTAGACAGAGCCAAATTCTGGACTTTATCAAATTTATCTTTAAGATCCAGAACTTCTTGAACCCATCGTATTGCCACAGAAGCTCCAGTTTGTCGTTCACCACCAGCGGCATTATTTTCGGTAGCCGTTGCCGTCGTAGCATTGCTAGAAACAGTTTCATTTATCGCTTTACCAAGTTCCCGTATATAATTGCTGATAGCAGTTTTCATCTCTTCGTGACCTTTAGTAACCCGCCCGAATAATTTGTACATTCTCCCAAGATCTGTTATAGAGCGCAACCGAAGGTTTAAAATAATGATAATATTACAAAGACAGACAAATATCTGCGTAAGCAAATTCCTACCATCCATTTTTTCATTACGTAGCATAGGAATTAAACCAGAGTTTTCCATCTAGGTAACTAGAGTTAGAGCTGCGAAAACAATGAAATATCTAGTATAATTTTTTTTTATTACCTCAATAACAGTTTTAAGATGTTTAGAAATAAGTTCTTCCTCTACAATACTTCTAATTTTCGGTTCTGTAGTTGGTGAAAGGTAATGACGCACGCGTTGTTCTTCTTCATTAAGACGCTTTTCAACCTAAATA